ATTCTTTCAAAAGGCAAAAAACACCTTCGAATAATGCACAATCTTCCTTATTAGATGGAAGAGAACAACTATCTATCAATCCAAAGCGATACATGCCATTTCCGACCCAGTCCATACCGTATAGAGATAATTCCAATCCTGTGATAATTACTCATATATTAGAGTCCAGGAAACAATTTGAACATATATCTGTCAGAATGAAACTACCTGCAAGCGTCCATCCGTATACAATTAGCTTTTTTCTTCGCTCATCATTTAAATGTTTCAACTTCTTGAGTACACAATTTAGAGAGTCTCGCATTAATACTGCAAGTTTAACTTTATCTAAATACTTATTTTTCTGTAAAGCAAGTGACATGCCAAGTGGACATAACCCGCATGCCACTTCACCATATAATGCTTCAAACTTATTGAAAGTTCTTGTCAGGATGCCTTTCATATCTACTTTCCTTCCCATGCGAGCTTTGACAAAAGGATCTGCATTTTCATTCCTAGAGTCTTTGGAACCAAGTGCCTGAATCTCTCCCCTCTATAAACAATTATAAATATCTTAGTACTACGCATTCTATCTGTTTGTAAGTCAATGCACAATGATGTACCATGAATCTGTCACCAACGAGGGGTCCATAACTGCATTAAACAAAGGATACATCATTGTAAATTTAAGTTCTTCTTCCGTTTTAGCACCCGTTTTAGACATATTATAGATTCTAATAAAAAACTTTAATTAGATATCAGAGTAAATCGCATAAATAATAGGTCAATCCTTACATAAATTGTAAATTCGTGTGTATTTTTTCAAAAGATGCATTGTCCTTAAGTTTGGCTGGATCGCAATTGGAGTCAAAATATTGTTGAAGATATTCTGGAGTTGACTGTGGTGACCAACGAACGTGATTGGCAAAATCTTGCGAGATTTCATTAATTTCGTTTTGGGAAAACTCCGTACACCCATAGAGACTTTGTTGCGTTAAGTCAAGGATGCCCCAATAACCCAATCTATTAAATAACAAGCAAAATTTAAGGACGAACAATTTTATCATATTGAAATAATAATAACAAAATTTACGTTATTATTCGACGCGTCTTCGGAATTTTTGTCTGATATTTATTAAATTTCTCAGAAATCTTGCGTAAAAATTCTTGCTTTGAAGACTATTACCATTTTTTGAATCTGAATGCTGAGAATGTAATTATCAAGTCTTGACTAGAACAAAAAAACTTACACCAAGAATTGTTTTTAAAATTGGCAATCTTGTTTCTTCTTTCAATCCAAATTCATCTATAGCATCAATTAAAGCGTCTTCATTCGACTCATCAAAGAGAACAGATTCTGAGTCTTCTGTTACTTTCGTTGGTTCTTCATCATCCGTTTTTCTTTTCACTTGCCTTTTCGAACTAACCATGCCCGTGGCTTTAGCATATGCTCTCTTATTAGATTTTGCATGTAGCAAGGTCTATTTTCTATGCGCGTGAGTTTCTGTCTATTCTGCATCAATAAGCAATAACAATCACAAACCTTGTAAAGATTTTTATCCCGTCGTTCCTTTACTAGTGCTAGATATATCTTCTCTAAGGCATCTATCGTACCTTTGCTTTCAGTCTCCTAATTCATAAATTCATAAGTATTCTACTAGCTAGACAAAACAAATAGATACTTTACATTCATATTGTCCACGACGCTTTTCACATATGCTCGAACGCCAAGGGGTACTGTTCTGTATTTATTGATGGCACGCAAAGATCCGTAAAATTGTTCTACGCATGCGGTCCAAATAGGAAGTTCAGTATTCTCATATACCCAGTTAATGTAATGTTCGAAGGTCCAAAATCTTGCCTGCACGGCATTAAAGTATGGGTGAATCAAGTCTTTTGTATTAGCAACATCAACACAATACGACCAGGGATCGGTAATAATTTTTTGGGGTGAGGTTTTGAAATTTGAATCCATATTTATAGACTTAGTTACTAAAGTAGTAAGAAAAAAGAGACGCGACGTGTACCGAGGTGCGCCCATATGATTCGGCGGCCATTCAGCATGTGATGTAATTAGGTAAACATGTTGATCGATTGAAAATTTTGACAGCCAATAAAATCGCGAGTTGAAAAAAAATTATTTTATAATCAGCATATGAGGCCCGGTGGAAAACGAATATTGGAATAGCGGGTTTAAAGGGATCAATTTGCCGGTCCCTAGATCTTATGATAGCAGTTCCTTCCCGCTACTCCGTATTATCAGCCAAGTTAAAATTATTTTTATTTAACGTTAATTATTCGTGAATTTTTTTATTCACATTGCCTATATATTCCATCCGCAATATACTGTAGGTGTGAATGATGATTTCATTCATCACAAACCTCACATCCGTGCTTCCAACCTCTAAAGATATGCCACTTCTCGAAGTAATTTCGACTTTTTTATTTGTAAATGTATTATTATATTTTTTCATTGTAATGTTATCGGAAAAAATAATAAATACGTGGCTATAAATTTTTTTTATTATATTTACGAACATGTAATGTGTGGCACTTAAGTTTGTGATCTGTTTATAAACAAACCTCATAAGGCTAAGACCCAGCACCATATAAAACAAAAAATTATATGCAAAATTTTTGAGATAAGAGTTATTTACCCGCTATTTATATAAAAAAATTATTTTTGAGAAAAATGGATTAATATAGCATCAATTTCATCTCGAAATCGATAAAGCTGTAATCGATTTAACACGCTGAATCTCATCAACCCCAATTTCATCACTAACAGAATTTAGAAGTTGCAATCTAACTTCTTTATTAACTAATGCCTGGGCTGTACATTTAGGATTATTTTTTCATAACGATCATACCTTTCCTCAAGTGCTTTACCGAAAAGATAATAGCTGGTTACATCTTGATTTGTAATTTCATTTTGGGTTTAATTATTATATAAATCGACAAAATATCAGTATTTTCTTTTCTAGTTACAGGATCTTGTGGAGTTTCGGGTTCGGTAGATAATTCATTTATAAGATCTTTTAATATATGTGATTCATTTTAACCGGCTTGCTTCTTTAGATGGTTTAACCGGAAATAATTTTAGATCATTAGTACACTTTTTTTATGTATCACTCTGGGTAAACACAGGGCTTTTAAATATCGTAGGTGACATTTCCATTAAATCGATATCCTGACTTTCGGGCGTGCTATCGAACAAAGATTTTATTTATCTCTTTCATACAACCAGGTTTCGGGCATTTTGGACTAATTTTAATAGAGCTTTCGATACAATCACGACGATATAAGTAAAGTAATTGGTTTTTTTATTTCATATAAAAAAAGTTCTTGGTTGCATAACGAACTTCAGGTATATTAATATCACTTGCAATTTTTTCTGGAGATGAATTTTTGAGAAAATTTAGTAGCCATATTCAAGAGTAAAATTTTGCTTGAGAAGTTGGCATATGTTATTATGGGTTCTGTGATAGATTTATGGATCAATGGCTCGAAATTCTGCTTCCTTGAAATTGCCAGAAGCTGAAGTAAGAATATTATAGGTAATTATATCTAACCACCTTGCGACTGCCTCGGACAATAAATCTCGACCTCCTATCTCTATTTTACCCGAAGATCCAAAAGAGAAACGAAAACATGTAATTAAAATAGTACTGAAGCAGTTTCAAAATTTATCTTTGAAATATAGTACTGGGAATAAAGATTACTTTTGATTATTTAATACCCTGCTCTATATGCAATAAAGATCATAAAAAAGAAAATATAAGATATAATGTAAAGGGTGAATAGGATAGTGAGGATTATGTCAATACAAGAATTTATCATCTCCAATGCTGAAAGGCCTAGCAAAATTCAATCCAAATAGTAATGGTGAAAGCATAAACTATTGATTTCGAATATTATTGTCATTGACCAACTCAACTCAATAATTGTTAGCATAATTAATTTTCTCAGATAATCCCAGATATAGAACGACACATTATATGTTATCTCGTATCAACGTTAATATTAAGCTCAATAATTAATTTTACATATGACATCGCTCCCCTGAGATCCATTATTGCTTTGCAATGCTAGAGTTTAGAATTAGGGGTAAAGGTGACATTATGATGGGATCAAGAGACCCTCTTTATTTGTCGAAAGGATGTCATCAAATATTCCAAACATGGGTTAGGAAGGGTGACTCGACGGTGGGTGAGGGTGACAGGGATGCAGTCCTTACTTTCGATTGATCGAAAGGACATGTCATCAATCATGTGCTCAAAACCTACATTTAAAGTAAAATTCTGTAAATGTTGCACTAAAAAATAAAATGCAGTGTCACCTGTCTGCACACATGCACACATGCATAATGTAAACCAAGTACAGTACGTTCACTACGTTCACAGCTTTACTCATGGATACTTCGGATAAAAAGATA